GGGTGAATTCAATTTGAAAAAGGGTGAATTTGGTTTGGAAAAGGGTGAATTCAAAGTGGAAATGGTATATATGTTTATCTATATATATGTCCAGGGAAAAAAGCATATTCCAGCTCTACGTTCCAAAACGCATAATTCTGTCTACACTCCCCATTGAGCAGCCGTGGCAAACTGCTGCCCACTATTAAAATAAGTGGTATACCTGAGACCGGCAACTGCCTCTTTTTGCACTCGTTTTTCAACTCCTGAACCTTGTAATCACTGAGGCGTCGGATTATCACCTGTAAACATTACACTAGAATCACTGTCTCTATTGGAAGAAGAATACGGATTGCAGACCTGATGATTCGTTGGTGAAGCTGTCGTGGGGCTTGCTGGTTGCATCTCATACATTTGGCCATCCTAATCAAGAAAAGAATAACGTGCATACATTCAGTCTTGTTCACTGCAGACGCTGGAGCGCGTCAAGGGGATGGACTGGCACTGCGCTAGCCTCTTCTAGACCAACAGTTTTGACCTGTTCGTTCGCATTTCCACATTTGTTGGTGGAGAATGGGTTGACGCCGCGCTTAACCCAACCCTCCCTCCTGAAACGGCCCAGCATCGGCAGCGACAAGACTTCAAGTGCAGGAGCAATTACAAGGGAATGGTTCCGAGTTTTCATCGAACTTCGAATGGGAACCCAAATACGTCGATGGAGCTTCGGATGCTTATTATGAATGTGCACATTAAAAGTGCTACGGAAATTTCCCAAACGAGTCCTGTGTGGTCATTTGCTGAAATAAAAGTTTTCATGCAACGCTGCTGATCGCCGGAATGCCAACGCCACAGTGGCCTATTCGTGACAGTCTTGCTTCAGAGTCACAGCACACGGGTTTGCTGCCCGCTAATGCAAAAGTTTTCGCTCTTGTCGCCGACAAGAGCTTTCACTACAGTTCTTGAGATTCTTTCATGTTAACGACCCAGCAGTGTAGAAGGTCAAGTGAATCAAGTATCTCACGTGGCAGATCGATAGACTGCACCTGAAAGCTATAATGCATCTCCACAATCCCGTTATCGAGAAAGCTTCTGTGAAGGATGCCACACGATTTGCACCAGTCTAAAAAGCGCACGAGTAGTCGCGATAGACTTCACTCTCCTTTGTACGCAATGGAAGGACTTTTGTAAGACGCTGTGGTAGAAACAGGAGGTGTGCCTCCTGGAAAGCCATGCACATAACCATCACAGGAGCTTCAAGGAGAGAAGCCGTCTCCAATCACACTGCATGGGGATCAAGGTTTCACCACGTTATTGGAGAACTTCGAAGCGATTTCGCTGATTTCGATCAGGGGATGCGACCAAATCCAGCTTATTCACGAACTCAGGAGCCTCTAAACTAATTTGATCCCCATTGCATCCCTCAAAGAGTGGAAATTTTGAAAATCAACGTATACTCAAAAATATGGTTCACCACTTCTTTTCGTCGTTGCGGCCGCAGTTTTACATGAGTGGAATCGTGGAGCTCAGGGAAAGGTGTGCACTGGTCCTGGTTATTAATTTTGATCACCTCGTAGTTTGAAAGCGTCACTAAGTGAAGGGAAGTTCAGCCAAAGTTTTCGTCGAAGTGTCGCGGGACTTGCTTTTAAACTTTACGATGGTTCCGCGCCAACGCGCAGGCTAAAGACGCTTTCTGGTGAAACAAGTAAGATATTCCTATTCGGAAGGTCAAATTACATCCGGAAACAAACTACTCGCCTAGTCAAAATTCTGACCTCAGCTTTGATTTATCGATTAGGGAGTGTCGCAAGTGGGACATAGTGACCAAACCTATATTTGATCTGCCACGTCAGATACGTGATCTACTTGATCTACTGGCTCTGCTGGTTCTTCAGCTCGGAGGGATTTTAGAAATTGTACTGAAAGCCTTGTCTGAGGCAAAGCAAAAGGTTTCGCACCAGCGGAGGCAAACCCGTGATCCGTGAGCAAACCCGCTTTATGAAGTGATACTATTAGCATAACGCTACGGTAGCACAGGCATTCCGTGGAAGTCATGAAACACTCCACTTCCAGCAGAATTTGACCACCCAGGACTATTTGGGAGATAGCCGTAGCACTTTTAAGGTGCGATTCGTCAGTGCGCTGACCGCGGACGCAGCCCTACTCTTCGCTCTATTGAAATTCACTATATTCATCATAGTTGCACACTTTTTCATCACATCTACGGTTTCTATTTACTGCTGTTGTCAAAAGCGTACACTTCTATGGCTCTCGTTTCGGATATATTGAATTCGCCACCTTATCAGAAAATTTTTGTCTTTTTACGATTGCTAGTTTATCAGCAGCGACCTATTAACTGTGATCTTGTCAACCACCTCGACAGTATGATTTCTCCCTCTCGCTCACCTTCTGTTCCAGTGAAATGGTCTCGTATCGGCGATTCACCGCAAGTCCCCACCAATGTAGTGGGCAAGCTCCAACATAGCCGTTCAAATCACGACATTCCGCCATTATATGCAGCTTGATAGTCGACCTCTTGATCGATACTAGGCGTGAATTAGCCAACATCAGCCGAAAATGCGATTCATGCGGAGACGAGAATAGAAGATTTTTCAAAGTCCAAAACTGATGAGTTAGTTTCTGCTAAATTAGCTTATTCTCACACTGGTGTTCAAAGTTTTGCTAGTGAAACTGCTATACTTCTCTCAATTCAGCTACTCATGATGTAAGTGATCCTGATCTCAAGCGTTCCATTGTTATATCCGGTGTCCCTGAGAGTAGCTCTTCTAGATCAATGGAAGCTGTTAACCATGACTTATATTGCACGCACACTTTGCTTGACTTTCTCGATGTTGCTTGTCTTCCCGTGTCCGTGTACCGTATGGGTAGAAAAGACCCTCGTAGACCAAGGATGAAGGTAGTCAGTTCCAGCCAGTCGCGGTTTCTAAAAAAGTTATTAGACGCGCTCCTCGCTTACGTTAATTCTCCCATCGAGGCCTTTCTAAGGCGAAAAGAGTGGCTTACTCGCCGAAATCACTCTGACGAGGAAGCTTCTACCGAGCATCATGTTGTTCACTCTGGTCGCTCGCAAATCCTTCCCAACGGCGGTAAACCTCTGAGCTGTCTTAGGCTCTCCCAGGGCACATGACACCTGGCTCATGCACGAATAATTGTTTTCAAAGGAAATTCACGTTCAAGTGTATGTTGTCAAATGTTAGGTCCTTTGTTAAAAATAGTGACGCTGTCATTTCACTGTTAATACGTGAGAGCTATGATTTGGTTTTTCTCTCGGAATCTTGGTTAACTCCTAACATTGAAATGTGTAGTCTGCTATATGCAGCTAACTCCCAGTATACAGTGCGTAACAAAAGTATGTGGACACCTCAAATTTTTGTCCTGCAAAATTGCCTTTGAATTTTGCGATATGAGACCTTTATTGTTGAATTCCTCATAAGCGAAAACATAGGAATACACTACTTCTGAGCACTTTGTGAACTACTGTACAATTATTTATTGTTTTGAAAAAGTTTCTTAATAACAAAAGTATGTGGACACCTGAGGAAGTCCAAAGTTTGGCTCCAGATCTGCAATCCATTTTTATGGTCTCTAGTCCCCATTAACCTGTACTCATGCCTCGTCGTGGTAGTCCTCCCTACGAAGACGAACAAGCTCGGATTCGAGCTTTCAGTGCTGCAGGACACTCGAATAGAGAAATTGCAAGATAGCTTGGACTTTCGGCGACGTGCGTTGGTATATACCTCCAGAATCCTGATGGCTACCACTCAGTACCTGTTTCGAGGCACCCACGATCTTTGTCCGCAAAAGACATCAGAAGAATAGCCTCAAACTCCCCGCTTTCTGTGGCACAGATCCATGCCGCGATGAATCTACCGGTCTCAAAAATGACAATATGGCGCTCTATTCGATCAAGTGAGCACATCACTCGAGAGACCATGAAGAAAGCTCCCTGTCTGACTGCCAGGCACCAGCTGGCAAGACTGAACTTTGCGCGTGCAAACATGGCGACGTCGTGGGACAAGGTGCAGTTTCTTGAGATATTTGTAAAATCAGAAAGGCAACATCTTATGCGCATTTCTTCTTAGGTTATCTTCACTGATAAAAAAGTCAATCTCGACGGTCCAGATGGATATCAGCATTACTGGAAAGGCCTTTGTAGCGATCCGTTGGTGTTCTCGAGACGAAATTTCGGAGGCGCCTCTTTGATGGTGGTTTTGGAAGCAGAGGAAAGTTGGAGCTTGCCTTCCCATCGTGCTGTATGAACAGTGAGGAATACCAAGGAGTGCTTGAGTCTAACCTCTTGCCTTTTCTGAGCGGGCCACGACGCAGGACACATGTGATGCAGCAGGACAACGCCGCCGTGCATGTTTCAAATTCTACTAGAAAATGGCTCCAACGCAATGGTATCAAAGTGATTGATTGGCCGGCGTGTTCTCCTGACTGCAACCCAACCGAAATCCTGTGGGGAATCATGGTTCGACGAATCTACATGAACAGTGGGCAGTACAACAGCGTGCGAGACTTGAAGGAGGCAATAGTTGCTGCATGGGAGGAAATCGACGAAGACACCATGACAAATCTTGTCCACAGCATGCCAGACAGAATGTTCGAAGTAATAGTGAACACTGGAGGAAGAACCAACTTCTATTTTCCACGATACATTTGTTTTTTTAAGTGTCCACATACTTTTGTTATTAAGAAACTTTTTCAAAACAATAAATAATTGTTCAGTAGTCCACAAAGTGTTCAGAAGTAGTGTATTCCTATGTTTTCGCTTATGAGGAATTCAACAATAAAGGTCTCATATCGCAAAATTCAAAGGCAATTTTGCAGGACAAAAATTTGAGGTGTCCACATACTTTTGTTACGCACTGTACTCATCTCAGATGTGATCGTGCTAAAAGAAAAGGAGGGGTTGCCCTGATTCTTATTCTTAGAAACACCTCACAATATTGTCTTCTGTGAATCAGTGCTTATGGGATTATGGTTTTTGATGCATACCTCTTTCTACAATTAGAGTCGTGTTAATCTACAGGACATCATCTTGTAATGCCCTCAAGACCAATTTACTTCTTAAAGCTATAAGTGACTTCAGTTCTCATGATGGAGCAACTCTCGTACTAGGTGACTTTAACATGGCTGATGCTAGCGTGTATCAAAGTGATGCAGGTAACTCTGCTTTCTAAGGAGTGTGTTCAGACGCTGCGCTCTCATCTTTCGTACCCCAGCAGCTCCATCCTTGACTTGGTCTTCTGCAATCGCCTTTTCCTGGTCTCACGAGTTAACGTCCTTCCACCGATTGGCACCAGTGACCATGCCACTGTTCAGTTGTTACTTAATGTTACTAGAGCTAACCCTCAAATTGTTATGGATAGGAACTTTGCGTTGATTGGCAGGCGGTTAGGAACTACCTTGCAGATGTTGACTGGATTGGTTCGTTTGGTACCATTGGCTCAGTCAATGATGAGAACGACTTGTTCCTATCCATTTTAGATGACATCGTCAACAAGTTTGTCCCACTTTGTAGTGTCAAGCGGGGGTACAGATCCCTTCCTGGGTATTTAGATCGTATGATTACTCGTTGCGGTGATCTCTGGGATTTAGCGGTCAAAAAACACGGAATCTCACAGGACTCCTTTTTACTCGAAGCTCGATCAGGCTCTTGCGAAATACTATGCAAGAAATGAGAATAAAATAATTGCTTCTAAGATTCTTTCCAAACTCTATAAGTATATTAATGTTTTTGGAAGATAGGAACAAGTTACTTGCGCTGGCATTTATGAGTCCCACCTCTGATCAGTGATCAAAGATAAAGCAGAGCTATTGCCGAGAGGTTTCAACTAGCGTTTTCAAACTATCATGAACAATTTCTGGAAGGCCTCACGCCACGTTGTCCTACCATGGGACCAACAGTTTGGTTTAATCGGGAGGAGATATTCGAAGTTCTTCCTGCTTGGCCCATCCTCTTCCTTCTGTTACCCCGTGACTTCATCTCTGTTCATCAGAATGGTACTCAGCCATCTACTTTACAGCCAGCTCCTCTTCAATTTGTCTTATTTGAGGGCAGAGGTACCAGATCGTTGGAAGCACTCTTTAGTAACGCCGGTTCCCAAAAAAGCCCCCTACAATCGCTGTGAGAATTACCGCCCAATTAGTATTACCTCCATTTTTGCTAGGGCTTTCGAGAAGATTTTGAAACGTCGGCTTATAGCTCATCTTGATGAGTATCACATCATTTCCCCTTCTTGGTTTCTGTAAGGGATGATCAGTTGAGACTGCTCTTCCGACTGAAACTGCTCTTCTGACTTCCCCCAATGAGTGGACTAGGGCCTTAGATCAGAAGAAGCCTACTCATGTAGTTTACTTTGACTTTGCCTAAGGCGTGTTCCTATTTCCACTTCTTATAAATAAGTTGCGGTACGTTGGCCTGCACCCGAAAGCTATAAACTGGATAAGCAAAATCATATGTATCAAATCCGAGTTGGCGATACGTTATCTAATATTTTTTCGGCTAGCAGTGGTGTTCCTCAAGGTAGCGTCTTATCTCCACTGTTGTTTTCTATATTTACTTGTGAGCTACCTAGTTTAGTTTCTGGACACGGTGTCACTTGCTTGATGTATGCTGATGATGTCAAGATATACAAGGTAATTGAGAGCTCAGAGGATAGTGATGCTCTCCAAGCTGCTATCAACTGTGTGAACTCTTGGTCCATTAGGTGGGGTCTGCCCCTATCCCACGATAAAACCAAAGTCTTCTGCGTTGGAAAAAGCAGTGATGCTGTAGCGATAAAATATAAACTAGGCTCTCTGGAACTGCAAACCACCAGTGAAGTGCGTGACTTGGGCATAAAAATGTATAGTAAGCTTTCTTTCGATAGTTATTATCCGGACACAGTGTCTAGAGCAACACACGGGATCTTTCATCTTCTGAGAGCAGTCCGCACAAAGAACTCAAAGACACTTATCAGGGCTTACAAAACATATGTTAGGCTGTTACTGGAATCGGGTACAACTGTTTTCCACCATTCAAGAAAAAAAGATATGTCCTTACTCGGAAATGTGAAAAATAGCTTCACACGTACGCTTGCCAATTCCTAACGGGCAGGAGCGTCGTCGTTTATATTCCCAGTCTGCTCGCCCTCAGAAAGATAAATGTTATAGCATTCAAAATCCTTACTGGTAAGGCCGCGTTAGTTCCGAATCTTTTTTCACGCGTACCCTTTCTACAACGAGGAGGCAAGATACATCAAGATTCCGCTGGTGAAAACCCAGAATCCGCTCCAAATTCTTTTCTGTAAGGGTAATAGCCTCTCTCAACAAACTTCTTACTCGTGACGTCATGCATTTCTCTCTGAATTCCTTCAAGTATACTGCCAAAAAATTGGTGAACCTTTAGGATTCGCGGGCTTGTCCCATTTGATATTTCTCTTGCGCTATTTCATTACCTCATCATTTTTTTTTTTTTCAATTTGGTCTTTTGCCTTCTTATATTTACTGATTCTTGCTTGGGTTCCAATGTGCATTGGTATGCTGATCGTTGTTGTAGTTTTGTTTTGTCACGTGGGTTCATACCTGCGTCCATAAGTAAATAAACAAATAAATAAATAAGCAAATAAATTAATAAATATTCGTAATCAGCATTCGAGGCTCTATCGACGTACCAAGGCCTCCATTCAGAGATGGAAAATATTCCCTTATTGAAGACTTACCCGCACATTTGTCGGACTCTCATCGCTTTGCTGCCATTGCAAAAACAGCTTTTGCTGCTGTAGTAAGAGCTCGTAGTTATTTTGTTCGGATGTTTTGGTCACCTGAAAACATTCTGGACTTTTAAAAGATGTTGTATTGGCAACCATGAAGTCTCATGACAGCGGAAATAAATCAAGTATACCCAAGTATACCGATGTGAGGGAGGTTAAGGTGATCATATTCCGTTGTTGATAAAATAGAGCTGCGGACGCGCCCAAACACTATCGATTACTCCGACGAGGACATAGTTTTTTGCGAACATTGTGCAGAAAACGCATCATAGTAGGCTTGTACGAATTCCGAGGCAGCGTAATTCAAATGAAAAAAAACGCGTCCTTGATTCCACGATGGTTTTCAAAACTAATTCAGCCCAAGCGGACCAAGCCTTTCATAAGTTCGCGGGCTTTTAATCGACCTCCAAAACGTCTGAAATTTCGACGCACTGGTATAACTAAGGTGTCCCGAGTTTGTAATTCGTGCATTTTATTCAAAGGGGAACGTCCTATTCAGTCATATAGTGTGCTTATTAACTATTTGATAGATCAAATGACTAGTGATTTGACGATGTTTCAGTTTAGAGTAGACAGGTCAGAAAAGAGCACTCCTGACACATTCTCATTTGGTCGAGCTGCCAAAGCAGCAGAAACTCATTTCAGTAGTGTTCGACCGTGAAAAAGTCTCATGTAAAAACTGGATGTCTAGAAATGATGTGAAAATCGGTTCAATTCGGTTGAGTAAAGAGAGCCTTGAACTCGCACAAATGCCTGATCTAAAGAGCTTGGTGAGGAGCGACTAAATGAGCTCACTCGCGAAGATCTAGACCGGACGACAATGAGCCTGACAGAGATTATGCAATGCTTTGATAATACCGTTGAATCTCATCTTCATTTCACGATAAAAGTTCCAGAACTTGGATTGTACATCGGTGTGGTCGATTTAGGTAAAGAGTCGAGTGCGAGTTCATTTCTGAGATTGACGCTGCCATCTCTGGATCGCTTGGACCAATTTTGACTCACTTTAACACGTTGCAACATAATGAGTCACCGGTGACTCATAACTTATTGCGCCACTTTACGTGTGATTGTCGTTAAATTTCACTGATGTCTTTATTGTTTTCTTATCATTAGCGGAAGGTATTTCCAAAAAGATAATAATGAAATTGTTGTTGTTTCTGTGGCATATTCCAAATCGAATATTGGATCTTCTCAACTCACGGCTACTTCAGGGCTCTAATCACGAATATGATAACCGTCTCTGTCGCGGACGCCATGTGGCGCCACGCTAACAACATTTTTACACCAAAAAGGAAATAAACTTGTATATCAGGAGTTCCCCACAAGTCTTTTCGCCCACACCTATCCGTAGCCTTAGCGGAGGTGAACGGCTTAATCCACACGAAAATGAGGAGGGTGCCACGTTAGAGCCTGGAAAGCTGCGCCTGGTCCATTCGCGTGCAGAAAACAGCAATGGATAAGGTCTCATTCCTCTGAACATGAGGGAACCACCGAGACGTTAGCGTTGGTTGGTACCGATGGGCAAGCCTTCTTGGATCTCAGAGCCGACGGAGAATTAAGCTGTTTAGAAGTAGGATGACGATCATTACTTTCAATGCACGGACGAGAACTGTCCCGTGGAACATGCGAGAGCAGAGGCGTTGACGGTGTGGATGCCTTCGTCAACACCCACTCGGTTATGAAAATTGCTTTATGAGAAAAACTCAGAATCCCCAAATAGGGTGTACGCATCTGAGAAGATGTGGTTCAACTCCGGCTGTAACGATCGTCGCTCACGCACCAACATCGAGTTGCAATGAGGATGAGCTCAAAGGATTGAATTAGAGAAGTTCTATAAGGTGGATCATACTTTCGTCGAAGTCATCTTCGGCGATTTCAAGCTAATGAGGGAGATCGTTCAGGACATCGTGAGCTTTTTAAGAACAGGCTGTTGCATGATTCAGGAGCCCATGGATAGACTACATGTAGTTCATTTCTGCTGAGCGGTATTGGGAATACCAAAAAAGGCAGTAAAATCGCTCAGAATGGGCGACTGTAACCATCTTATTCGGCTCTCCTTTAGATGTAGCGTTGAGTATGTATGGGTTACGAGGTGTTCTTCAGATAAATTCGGAAAACAAAGCACACAATGTTGAAATCCAGATGCCTTACCTGACACCTGGGTGAGGCACACTGAAGTTTCTTCAGGGATTCTCGCAGCATCCCTTCCCGCACGCAGAGGCTATTCAGCGCCATGCTGTTTCCAAAGGGCGTCGGCGCCGCCACAGATAAGGGGAAAAATCGCCTTCCGAGCCATCGAATACCCTTGTAAGCGAAGTTTCAGCGAAAACAATTCAGAGATTTGGTGTTAGTGGATCGAGCACTGCCACAAAAACACTGACATTTCCACAACCATTTAGGTCACCGGCAAGACCAGCCGTCACTCACTCTGCATTCCTAAAGCCAGTATATCTAAAAACGGCACTTTAGCTCCAGAGCACTTAAAGAAGCATCCTGAATCTTTCTCAACTGCTACCGCCTGGGTTTTTATCAAAGACCTTACCTCCTGCTGGGAAAAGGGGAGTTAGTTTTTCTCTCTTTTTCAGATGTAAAAGCCAGTATATAAAAGTTTTTTCTATGTTTTGAGTTTGACAGTTGTTAATGCTTTTGTATGCTAGCATATGTAGAGTTTCAGGTTACGAGGGTGTGACTTATAGAGGGAACTGATAGCGACTAGTAGACATGTCCAGTCATCACCTGTATCCCTGGGCTCCCGCTGATCATCGAGTTCCTCGAGCGGGCGCCAGTAACGTCTCCATTCGTCCCTGCAACGTGCAAGAGTTGCCCAATGAACTCTCTCAGCTCGAGGGACACGATGAACTTCATACCATTCGTTCAGAGCTTTCACGAAGAAGTCTGACCATCGCGTAGGCGGTCGTCCAGGTGTTCGCTTGACATCCCGTGGAATCCAGTCGGTGATCGCTCTGGTCCAGCGGTCGTCCTCGAAACGCATGACGTGCCCGGCCCACCTGATCTTCGAAACCTTGGCAAATGCGGCGGCGTCTCTGATCTTCGATCGTCGGCGGAGTGCGGAGCTCCGGATTCCCTCTCTCACTTGCGTGTAGCGGGAAACTCCGAGCATCGCCCTTTCGATGGCGCGTTGAATAACGCCAACCGCATGCTCATCCTGCTTTCGTAGAGTCCAAGTCTCCGAGGCAAATCAAAGCAGGAAGGACCGCGGAATCGAAGAGGTGGGCGCGGAGCCTCTGTTTTTCGTCTTTTTTCCTACTCTCTTGATATTTGATAGCTCCCCAAGGCGTTCGTTTCCCCCCTGCTCAGCTCTGGTGCTAAGTCGTTCAACATATTGACCAGATACACACATCTAGAGCATGCATTTCGCTCCGTCGAGCGACAGTGAGGCTTCAGATACCACTCCGTTCTTCATGAACATCGTTTAAGTCAGATTCAGGTGCGAAGCGATTTTTCCACCTACGCAGTCAAAAATCAGATAGCAATGGCTTTGCTAGCTCGATGTTTGGTGTTATCTGAGCAATGTCCCTAGTAAAGCAGAGATCGTGTAGTTTCGGGCTTTCGGTTCTCACTCCCATGTCCGTTCCAGTTAACGCATGACGTTCTTGAAAAAGGCGTTGAAGACTTCGCGCAAGATGGTGTCGCACTGTCGATCCAATCTCTTTAAGGTGATGATGATTTTTTAGCAGAACGACGAGATCATGCCTTTCTGAGCGGTACGGAGGCAGGTGGACATCGCTGTCAACGAGACCACAGAAGAAGTAGTAGGTGACCTTCACATTGCCCTTCGGGATGCAGTGACTGTTCCGTCCGGACGTCGGAGGCCGATCAATCTTGCTTTTCTCGCAAGTGGCGTTGTGGGTGCTGCTCCCAGGTCCTGCTGCTTCCATCAGTGCTGCTACTATGCTGTCTTCGGGCTCTTCCTGTACCCCCTTCTGCTGCATAGCTTCGCAAGCTCAGACGTCAGCTGGTAATTGCCTGCGGCTCGTGCGGCTCCACGTTGGCGAATCAGCTCGAGAGTTTCCAGAGATAGACGCTTCTTGGTAATCTTCTGACTTCTTGGCGCAGTCGTGAAGATGTGCAACAAGCCGTTCGTATTCCTCGTCGATGTTGTCGATGACGGAATCCTCCCAGAGCCAGCGAGAGAAGTGAAGTGGTCTCCAATTGATGACAGTCTTGGGGCTTCGCTTCTTGAACTTTGCGGCTCTCTCTCCTCGCATCGAAAAGCGGAATCTTGCGCGAAGGAGACGGTGGTCGGATCCCGTGTAGAACTTAGGAACAACAGCGACATCGGTCAGGCAAAACCTTCGATTGAAGATGATGTGGTCGATCTCATTATGGAATTGTCCACCAGGAGACTCCCATGTCCAGCGTAGAGAGTAGGGCTTCTGGAACTGCGAGTTACCATGGATGGTGTGGGTCGACATGATAAACTCAGACAGCCTTTCACCCTGCTCATTCCACTCCGTTCCGTGAGTTTCCGATGTGAAGTTCCTCCGCCGTTCCTCTCGGTCCTCCATCGACTTGTCTGCAGTCCCTGAACTTTCTAGAAGGCCGAGTTACCGAGTTCCGTGGGAGGTGGGGGGCCCCGCCCATTTCGAGTACGCCCAGCCCTTTTCGAGTGTTCTCCTTCAGAGAGTATGACAATCCTTTGCCATGATTAATCCACTTTTCCACATCTCTGGGCTGCTTTGGAACCAAATTATGAATTTTTGTCTGTGACACCGCTAACTTTCGACGCATGCCCCGCCCGCCATGGGCGGGGCTTACCATGGGTTACGGTTGCTCTTTACATCTTGTCCCATGCCCTACTTATCGCAAACTTGATTCGGCTCCAGGTTG